ATTGATTGAAGAGTTGTCTCAAAGAGAAGACAATACAAGACATGAAACACAAGACAAAGGATTGAATACTCGAGAAGTGATTGAATCAGACATTGAATCCAATGATGGCATCGATTGTGATATTAATCCAGATTCAGAAGAGGAGACAATCAATGAAAGTGTTGTCAATGAAGACATGATTGAAAGACAAGATTTTAATAGTAATGAAGAAAACAATGATTTAAATGTTAAACAAATTGAAACATTGTCTCAAAGAAACGACAATTCATTTCATAAAACATCAGACGATGTGTTGAATGTCGAAGAAGTTGTAAATCTTTTTAATGTATTAAATGATGGCAACAATTGTAACACTAATTTCGAAACAAAAAACGTTAACTTCTGTGGAAGTGTTGGTCAAAAAGTCAATGAAATATCGACTGATTTGAAAATAAATCGCAAAACAAATGCCAAAAGAAAAGTGAAATCAAATACAAGTGAAGCGAAAGACAGCGAAACAGAAGAGTATAATAACGGGTCGAGTGATGAAGAGATGGACGACAAGTCAGACATTGATTGCACAGAATCTGAGACTAAACGTCGAAAATATAATAAGAAAACTGACGGTCAGTTTGTATGCGATTTCAATGATTGCGGAAAGAAATATAAAACGCGGAAAACTCTGAGAGAACACAAAGACATTCATTCGGATGAGATTTATGAGTGCGATGTCGACGACTGTCGCAAAGTGTTTGCTATTAAACGCTATTTAAATGGACACAAACGAAGGGCACATAGGCTTAAGACATCAGTTTCTGGACGTGATTACAATGCGAGTGAAACCAAAGACGGCGACGACTCGGACATCGATACCAGCGCTAAGACAACTAAACCAAAAGCCAATTATTGCTGTGATTTCATCGGTTGTGGAAAGAAGTACAGAGAAAAAAGTTGGCTCCGGATCCACAAACTGACGCATTTGGGTCAGACTTATCGGTGCAAAGCGGACGGATGTGACCAAACGTTTACTACTGAAGGGTATTTCATTAAACACGTGAGGAATATTCACAGCACTCAATACCAGTGCGAAGATTGCGAGTATAAGACCGGATCCATAACGAGTCTAAAATCACATCAAATCAGTCATTTAAATGAACGCCGATTTATGTGTTCAATCAATGGCTGCAATAAGACATTTAAAATAGAAAAGTATTTGAATGATCACCAGTTGAGAGCACATCCCGACGAGTTTGCAGACATACCATGGATTGAATGCTCGCATACGGGCTGTCAGTATAAGAGTAAATGCAAATCAAAATTTAGGGATCACATGAAAACTCATTCAAAGCTCTATCGATGCAAAGACTGCGGAAAAACATTTGGTTTCAGAAAGTATTTAGGAATTCATGAGAAGATTCACAACAAGTTGTTGCAAATCCCGTGTGAATGGTATGGATGTGAGCGACGGTTCACTACTCGGTCTAAACTGAGAGACCATATGAATACACACACGGTTGAGATTACATACCGGTGCCAATGGCCCGGTTGTGACAAATGGTATACAACACCAACCGCTCTGTCTGTTCATGAAAGAAGAGTACACAAGGGTTTGACTGATTTCGCGTGTCATTGGCCTGAATGCGAGTACTCGACCACTAATCCCATTAGACTTCATAATCATATCGATAGACAACACAAGGGTCTGCAGGACTACCGGTGCTCTCATACGGGCTGTGATTATACGACCACTAAATGCGGGGAATTGGATAAACATATGGTTATTCATAAACAATGATTATATTAACGATAATATAATGAATATATTGTTTATACAAAGATATGATTGAATAACGAAGAAATGATCCAATAATACAATTATTTACATACCATTAGTTTCAGAAGTTTTGATTATCACGAAATATACACATTACAAAAAAGTCCAGGTTGAAATAGGGCAATGTTTTTATTATAACGTGGTTATTAAATTACCACGGTGTATTTTAAATTATAATTATCTATCAGAATATACTATATTTGGTTAACTTGAATTGTGTATAAATTACACCTTGATTTGGTCTCACTTACACTAATTGTTTACTTTAAACAAATTTGTATATTTTTTACTCATATAATGTATACGATAATGCAAACTGATAATTTTGAAAATGTTCATAGTTTATTTAATGTATAATTTTATTTGTTAGTAATTTTATTCATTAAAATCATTTTAAATTAAATTTTACGTGAAATTACTTTTAAGCCCGCGTTTTATATGCTGTCATTGATTACACGTGGAGATCACGTGACAGCCATTGCTGTTGTTTACATGCAATGAATGAGTGTTTGAGTCAAACATGGGATCAATTTGTGGTGATTTTCGTGGTTTAAGTCGAAGACAATTGTATTCAAAGTTAAATGAATTGAAGACTGAAAACAATTGTTTGAAAACAGATTTATTAAGATTTCAATTATTGACTCAAAAATATGAGAAATGTTTGAATTTTATGCGCGAAACCAATGAAACAAATATTGAAAACCATTTCATAAAACAAATCAATTCATTAAAAGACACCAAAAATTGTTTCATTTATTTAAATGATATAAAAGCCGAAGATTTGGATCAAAATGAAGACAATTATAGACATCAGACACAAGACATTGATTTTAGTGTCGAAGAAGTGATACAATTAGACATCGAGTCAAATGATGGCATCGATTGTGACATTAATTGTGATTCAGATAACGAGACAATCGGTGGAAGTGTTGATCGAAATGAAGACATGAATGACAGACAAGAATTGAATAGAAATATAAATAAATGTGAAGTAAAAGAGAGCGAAACAGAAGTGAACAGCAATTCAGACACCGATTGCACCGAAAGTGAGACAAAACGGAGGAAATATATGAAAACTGGCGGTCAGTTTGTATGCGATTTCATGGGATGTGATAAGAAGTATAGCCATAGAAGTGGTCTCAGTAAACATAAACGGAAACATTCGGGTCAGACATACAGGTGTGATGTCGAGGAATGTGAGGCAATGTTTACCACTAAAGAGTACTTAAGTGGTCACAAGAAAACACACACCACTAAGAAGTCATTGTCTGGAAGTGAATCACATTTAAAGACAAAAACAGATATTAGGAGCGAAACAGAAGAGTATAATAAAGGGTCGAGTGATGAAGAAATGGACGACAAGTCAGACACCGATTGCACCCAAAGACAGACTAAACGTAGAAAACATAACAAAACTGACGGTCAGTTTGTATGCGATTTTATGGGTTGTGGAAAAAAATATAAGAATAAGAGATATTTAAATGAACACAAAGAGATACATTCGGATCAGACCTATGAGTGCGATGTCGAAGAATGTGGTCAAGTATTTGCCAAAAAAGTCAATTTAAGGATACATAAGTATAGACGACACAAGTCTAAGATGTCAGACATCGATACGAAGTCTAAACGGAAACCCATTTATTGCTGTGATTTCATCGGTTGTGGAAAGACTTATACCGATAGAAGACATCGAAATAATCACAAACTCACACATTTAGGTCACACCTATCGGTGCGAAGCCGATGACTGTTTGGCAACATTTGTCACTGAAATACACTTAAGACAACACGTGAAGAATAGGCACAGAACTGACTTCCAGTGCCAACAATGCCATTACAAGACCGGACTCTTAAAGAGTTTTAAATCACATCAAATCAGTCATTTAAATGACCACCGATTCAAGTGTTCAATCAATGGCTGCGATAAGACGTTTAAAACAGAAGTTCAGTTGAATATACACCAGAAGAGAGTACATCCGGATTCTTTTGCAGACATACCATGGATTGAATGCTCGCATACGGGCTGTCAGTATAGGACTAAATGTAAACCAGTCTTTAGAATACACATGAAAAGTCATTCAAATGAATGCCTATTCAAGTGTTCAATGAATGGCTGCAACAATACGTTTAAAAACGAAGTTCAGTTAAATAAACATCAGTTGAGAGCACATCCCGAAGAATTTCCCGACAAACCATGGATTGAATGCTCGCATACGAGCTGTCAGTATAGGAGTAAATCTAAATTATCCGTTAAGGATCACATGAGAACTCATTCAAAGCCCTATCGATGCGATGAATGCGGAAAATCTTTCGGTTCGAGTTCTGATCTTAAGAGTCATAAGAGAAGTCACGACAAGTCGTCGCAAATCCCGTGCGAATGGTATGGATGTGAGCGACGGTTTTTGCAGAGGTCTAAAATGAAAGCACACATGAATACACACACGTGTGAGACCACATACCGGTGCCAATGGCCCGGTTGTGACAATACTTATGTCAATAAATGGTCGTTAAGTGGACACCAAAAGAGAGTACATAAGGGTTTGTTAGATCTCAAGTGTCATTGGCCTGAATGCGAGTACTCGACCACTAATCCCATTAGACTTCATAATCATATCGATAGACAACACAAGGGTCTGCAGGACTACCGGTGCTCTCATACGGGCTGTGATTATACGACCACTAAATGCGGGGAATTAGACAAACATATGGTTATTCATAACCAATGATTTTATTTAAGATAATATGATTGATATATTGTTTACACCACTGTATGATTGATGATCACAGAAGAAGTGATGCAATTATAGTATGAATGCCGGAACTGTTGACAACCAATCAAATAGATTTTTTAAAATAGAAACTATGTACTTATATTTGTAAATGTTTAAAATTTATTAATAAGTTATGTGAAGTGAAATTTATTAAAATTTTAATTTATTTGTTTTGTATTTTATTTTGATCTTAAGTTGAGTTTAAATTGTATTCAATTTTTAACACGTTTTATATGAATATAGATTACATGTGGAGATCACGTGACAGCCATTTTTGTTGTTTACATGCATTGAATGAGTGTTTGAGTCAAACATGGGATCAATTTGTGGTGATTTTCGTGGTTTAAGTCGAAGACAATTGATATTAAAGTTAAATGAATTAAAGACTGAAAACAATTGTTTGAAAACAGATTTATTGAGATTTCAATTATTGACACAAATGTATGAAAAATATATGAATTTTTTGTGTGAATTGAATGAAACGATTGAAACAAATATTGAAAACCATTTCATA